TACCCCTAAGATTACCCATATTTTCTCCTGTTTTCTTCTAGAAGTTTTATAGCTTTGCAATTACATATCATTCTATGATCCATTTTTAATTTAATTTAATGAAAAGTGTAAAGTCTGTCTATTTCTTATCCCTCTTCTTCATTTTCTCTTCTTCTTCCTCCTCCTTCTCCTTCATTGGTGTTAAGACACTATTGTCTCTTTGTTCCTTTGGCAAAGATGAATTGACTATATTTATGAATCTACTGTGGACCAATCATTATTTTCACTGTGTAGTGTATTTCTACTTTTCCTAGTAGTATACTTTTTTGATTACTATAACTTTATAGTAAGTTTTGAAACTAGTTTTGAAACTGTGTGTCCTCAACTTTGTTCTCCTTCAGTGTTGTGTTGACTAGGTTAGTGTTTTGTTTTCCTATGTAAACTTTTAGAATAAGTTTTCCAGTATGTCTTAGTTACTTTTCTCATTGTTGTGACAAAATACACAACATCCAAAGCTAAAGAAGGAAATGTTTCTTTCAGTTCAGAGTTTGTAGAGATTTCAGTCCATAGTCAGATGGCTTCAAGATAGAGTGGCATGGCTGAGAGGCATTGCAGAGGAGAAACAGCTCCTGGTGCAGCAGGCAGAAAGTAGGAAGCAGCAGGTAGAAAACCTAACTTGTCCTTTGTCCCTTTATAGTCCATTCAGGCTGCCAGCTTATTGGTTGATGCCACCCACACCTGAGGTAAGGCTTCCCAATACTCACACCCAGAAAAATACTAAACCAGTCAGTGGACTAATCCAATCATCATGCTGTTAATCCATATTCATACATCCTTGATCCAGCCACCTCTGAAAAGCCCCACATAGAAACTCACAGGACCTTGGGGGGATATCTAAATTCAAGCCTTAACACAATGTTTACAAAATAGCTGCTAAGAATTGCACTGAATCTGTAGATCAAGTTCGGAAGAACACACACACACACACACACACACACACACGCACGGATATTTTCAAGGAACAAATATGACATCTCAGAGATATGATGCATGTCACTAATTGCTTCATTCTTTTCCTATTTGCAAGTTGTTTCTTTCACTACTGAAAAATCTTCATTATTATTCTAGGGATGAGAAGCATGTCCAATAGTTGATACATAGTTCTTAATAACACATTGACTAAACAAATACACAGTCAAATCTCAGAATTTTCCAACTGAAAAGTCTCTTCAATCCTCAGACAAAGGTCATTGTAAACTCTCAGATTTGAAGGTGAAGTCATTACATGCATGTGGTTAAGAGAGGAAATACCTGTACCGTAACTCCATTGTACTTGATGTGATAGAGAATAGGCAAATTTGAGGAATTGGAGATTTACATAGAGACAGGCAACTGCATTTTTCTTTGGGAGAGAAATTTCTTATTTTGAGATTAAGTTCTATTAGATTTGAGAATGAAGTATGCTGAGTACATAAGCTGCACTTATATAATGAACTATGATGAATATATAAGTTGCACATGTAAGGCTGAACCACCAAGTTGCACAGTTCCGGCATACCATACACTTGGTCTTCACATGAGGAGGATTTCTGTAGCGAAGTGCCACTTGCATGGCTTGCAGTGAGAGTGGTGTCCCCTGCAGCTGTGCAGTGCAGCTTGTAGTAGCAGAAGTCTTCAGAAGAGTGACAATTTCAACTTTCTCTTTATTAATTGTAATTTTATTTTTTTAGAAAATCTCCCAAAATCAGCTTTCTCCTGCACCGGATGTTAAATACCTTTTTTCTCAAAGTTTTCATAGTGCTCAGTGTACCCATATCCCAGCTCTTAGCGTGTTATATGTAGAAGTTAATGTACTTGTCTGTCTCCCTCCCTGATCTGAGCTCAGAGATGCTTCCATTTCTGTAGTCATGATTCCAAGTACAGTATCTGGCCCAAAAACAGTGTTCAGTAAACGCTTCCTGAATTAAATGTAAATTGTTCTCCATAAGATACACTCAATTGCCTCCCACTTTTTTTCCAATTTTAATTTGTTGTCAATTTAGTCCATGGAGAATTCACTGTGTTCCTATTTATTAAATTAAATATCTGCTTGAAGTAGCATATTAAAAATTAAGCTTAGTTAAATCTCAATTTCCTGTAATCATTATATAAGTTTCTCATTGCTGCAGCTGATGTTAGCTTGGTTCAATGGCTTGATGGCAATTAACATGAATGCTTAATGATCACTTTTCTATTCTGATATATTACTAATGATACTTACTGTTTAAAGTGTTTTAGGGTTAATTACAAATGCTTACAGTTTGCTTACCCTTCTGGCTGACAGTATATTCTTACACCTCAGAACACGATGAGTGCTCTGGACCTGTGTAGAGAGAAGGCTGGTCTGCAGAAGCTCTGCAATCAACATTTTAACCTTTCAGATCTATTTCTAGACTCTCTACTTTAGCACCAATGATGCCAAAAATGCTCTCAAATGCAATTTAAAATCTGAGTGCCCTGCAAGAGCAGAAAACAAGATATTGTTGAACGCAAATACAACAGGAGTGACACTGTCACTCTACATCAGTCACACTTACAGATGAAATCAAACTACTTCTCAGTCTGGATGGGAAATAAAATTTGACTCCTTTTACAAACATGTCCCAGAATGGAAACTAATATCAAAATTCTTTTAGGTCATTTATTATGTTTTTAGTCAATCATAAATTCATCATTTTGTTTTAAGCACTAGGTTGATATTAAATTATAGAGCTAAATTTTTAAAACCTGAATGGCAGATGATTTAGAATTGAAACATGTGTTTATATTTAATGAAACTGTTTTGGTCATTATACATCATTTTACTTCTTGCCTTTGAATAAGGGTGCTTGTTTTCATTTGCTCTTAACACACTTCAAGAATGCAGTTAAAAGGTGATGCAGGCCAAGTGTGATGGCCCACACCTGTAATCGCAGTACTCAGGAGGCTGAGGCAGGAGGCTCATTGTGAGTTTGAGACCAGCTTGGGCTACAAAGTGAGCTTAAGGCCAGCCTGAACTGTATACTGAGACCCTGTCTCAAAAAGACAAAAATAAATAAATGAATATTTTTTTAAAAAGTTGATGCATTACAAGATAGTGTATTCTGTAAGTGTGCAAATATTTCCTTTCTATTAAGTGCCAATTAGTTGGCTATGCAGATTTTATATTAAATACAAAAAATTTTTAATAAACTATCAAGCAATATGTTTGGAAGGACAAGCATTAATAATTTGTTTATCATTCAAACAATTGTTGCTAAGATACCTTCACTATTTCTCTCTGCCTGAATGATTGAGTTATCTATATAAGGTTGCCAATCTTATTAAGAAATCCATTGTATTCAGTATCTTAAACTTAGTTTTTATGAAACTTTTTTATCATTTCCCTATTTACATTGTTCAGATCCATTTAACTTGAGTATTTTGTCATTTAGAGTAATAACACATCAATCCGCAGTGCAACCTTTCTTTATGTTTCTTTTCTTAGTGCTCTGAAATGTGCTATTTTGAATCCCTGAAATGTTATAAACCACCAGATTGCTAATTGCTTTGGATGCTGTGAAAAATAATTACTCCACATTATTTTTGATATTTAATTGACAGTGTAATGCATTTAACTAAAGACCTGCAATAAACTATTTCTAATTACTGAGACTGGTGGAGTGGAAACGTAGGCTATAAAACTTTACAAGGAAACAATGTTTCTCTTTTGTATTAAAAGTCCTTGCTGATAGGACTTTCCCAGACAGAAAAATTTCCCCCAAATGGAAATTTCTGGAATGGCAGAAGAAAATGTTGAGTTTTTCTGCACATGGCATAATGGGGATTTTTAAATTATTATTTTTGGATAGATCACACTTGCCATGGATGTGAAATTCTGAATTTACTATATGTGTGCTAAAATGTTTCCTTCTTCACTCGGCAGAACTTTCTGAGAAAGGTAATCATGGCATTGCTAGAATGACTACTCAATCACTGGCTTATGTTGAGTTTTTTCTCTGCTTCTGTAAGACATTCAGCTGAAAACCCGCACCAAATTCTATTTGTCACTGACATGCAGTCATGTGCTGCATGATGGTGTTTGATGAAGGACTGACTGCACATACAGCGTGGTTCTGTCAGGTTATTACGGACCTGAAAAAGTCCTATCGGCATTCTAGACGTCTTGCTGTCATAGCACAGTGCATTCATGCATGCGTTTATGATGATGCTAGTATGAACAAAGGTACTATATTGTTATTGAAAGTATACCACATATATTTATGTGTAGTCCCAAATAATGGATAACACATGATTGCATTACTGGTTTATGTGTTTACTACACTGCAGGTTTCATTGGTGTTTTGAGTATGCTCTTCCTCTTTATAAAGAACTACTACTTATTGTGAAATTGGGTGCCATGTTACAATACCAATCTGTTCTCTTGAGGGTATGAGGCGGCCATGTTAAGTAACTGACCCAAAGCATCTAGCTCTTCTGTTTACCCGAACAAAATTGCCTAAGAATGCTTTGTCACAACATATCCCTGTTATGATAATATATCCCTATGTGTGAAAAGATCTATAGCTGTGTATATGTAGGTCTTATCATGAACTGGGCCTGTTCTTAGAATCCAAGGTAAGCACTTCTTGTTGCAAACAGGCCCCTGAAAATAACACTAGAACCTAAAGCAAGAAATTCCTATCCTCTACCTAGAATGTCACAAAGAAGGCTATAGGGCTATAAAAGGGGGGTATAAGAGGGCTATAAATGATATTAGGTCTGTTGAAAAGATGTGTATTGTTTTCAGTGTCTTGTGACTGTAGGCTATTATTAATAAGATAGTATCATAGTATTATTAATAGTATATTATTATCTTCCTACTCATGATCCCTCATTAAAATAAAATGTTTCTATTGGTACTTCATAAAATTGTTGATATAATTTCAATTATAATCTGTTTTCCAAAACACAACTAAAATAAACAACCTATTTCAGGGAATGTAAATTATTTTCAGAATTTCAGAAATTGAAAAGGGAAAAGAGGAAGGAGAAAATGCTGGGCTGGTGTGAAGCGATAGCCCGTAACCCTCACAGACTCCCCAACAACACGAGGACACCCGAGATCCCAGGGGATTTGGCTGATGCCTCACAAACCTCCACACTGGTGAGTGGAAAGTTATTTTACCTCAAAATAGCTTGTATATAAACAGAATGCTAAGAAGGTGGATTCAGGATGATCTTCCAAGTAAATATTCTTGCTTTCAACAGTACTATGTTTGCATTTGTAGTATATTGTTCACATAGACTCAATTGAATTAGTAGATATGGATGAAATATTTTAATATCTCAATTAATTCAAATTAAACTGTTTCTGTTACATTGGAATTGTCCTTTAATTATGTTAGAGAGCTGAAAGAGATAGTCAAAATTCTTGGATTCTCGTCTACATAATAGAATTGAAGAGGGAAAATAATTTCAGAGATCACATAATTAGAGAGTCAAAATCATAATTTATTCTCATACTTTTTCTAAAACTATTGAAATAAAAGGATTAACAATTATTATTTGTGCTACTTTAGACTGAAATGATTTTAAAAATAATTTGAGGGCCAAATCAACTATGTAGTCTTTCATGTTTTATTTTAAGCTTTAAGTCTAAATGCTTAGCTTCAATTAACCACTATTTTTCAGTGATTAGAGAAAGGTAACTCATTAGCAAAAGGTATTTTACATATTCTTTATTTAGATTTTGGCTACAATAATATTGATTCTAATTAACACAAAGAAAATTCCATTAAATGTAAGAATGTTAATTATTGTTTTATAATTTTATTAGAATTTGAATACTTTTATTAGCACAATGGATTAATTAATGTATATATAATTAAGTATGAGAAAAATTCTTTAGTTTTTTTTATGTTTTAGGTTTATTTGACAATTTTTATTATTCTACCATCTTAGTCAGTTTGGGTTGGTATGCTAAAGTTTATACTTTGGTGACTTATAAACCAAAGAAATGTATTTCCCATTGTTCTGGGGACTGGAAAGATGATGACGTTGGTAGATTTGGATTTGGTGAGGACTTGCATTTCTGAATCATAAATGATCTCTTCTCTCTGTATCACTGGTAGTGGAAGGAACAAACGAGCTCCCTCAGACCTTGGCTGTAACAACACTGATCCTGTTTAAAAGGGGTTCATGTTCACACCCTAGTTACCCCCCAACAACTCCAACTTCTGTTATCATCACTGTGCGGTTTAATATTTCAGGATCTGAATTTTGAGAAAACACAGACATTCAGATCACAGCATTAAGATAAAAATATGATCCTTAGAAACCATTACTGAATGGATGTCAAGAGGAACAGTCTGGAAGAACAGATTCTCAGCTGACTAACCAGGCAGAGTGACTAGGATCTCCCTTAAATTTGATCATCTCAGATGTTTGGTGGAGGGATACAGGTACGGAGAGATGTGTACCACACTATTGGTTACTCAGACTCTGGAAAGAGATTCATTGAACTTATCACCTGCACTGCCTCATCTTACTCAAACCTGACCCCCTGTGTGAGTTATCGTTTTCAGTAAGACTGTTTGTCATGAGTTAACACCAATTAAACATGTATTAAAAGACATTTATAACTGGATTTTGACAACTGTCAGATAATAGCTAAATTATTTAAACAACAATCTTCTGCATTTTCATTAAAGTGACTTTCAATGCTTGATGTTTACTTCACAAAATCGTAGATTAAAACGGCTAGAAAATCTTAAGGAAACATTTGACCTGGCTTCCTGCCTGTGACTGGTATGGCGATATTAGTTTCATCTCACAGATATGTGTTATTGTTGCCTAGAGAAGTTAATTGACCACCGATATCTCCTAAATTATGAAAGGATTACCGGAATTGGGCTCTTCACATCAAGGCCTTTTGGCTACTTTTCTCATGATATTTTTCCTATTCAAATAATTTTAGTAGAAAGAAAAAGAAATCAAATAAACCAATCTAAATAAACCCAGTAGGTAAATGTAATACTGCACCGAAGGGATAACATCCAGTTCCTATAGCATATAACCATGAAATCTGTTTCTTAACATAGAAAAATAAAGCATTTCTCCCTCCTATCAAAACCTGATGCACAGTGGATATCTTTCCCTGGATGTTTATGCTGAAAATAAACGTCGTAAGAAAGAGGACTTCTTCCAGTTTTAGTACTACCTTCCTGAACATAGCATGGCCTCTTAGGGAACTGAGGAAAAGGGGGAGCCTGTGATGTACCCATGGGCTGTTATGGAGCAACCATGGCTGCGTGAGTATTTTTCTACCGTCCAAAGCCTCCTTTCACGGCCCAGTTAAACTTCAAGAAGAGCTGGTAAATGTCGTCTTATGTGGCTGGGAAAGGGAATGGAATTAGTGAGCTCCAGCTCATCTTTGCTACAGTGCACCTTTCTGGCCATCAGATATATAAAAATGAATGTCAGCCCCTAGACTGACAACTCGAATTTCTCTTTAATATTCAGTCAAAGCCCACGGTCTTTGGTTCAGCATTGTCCTCCTCAAATAACGTCAACAGTGGCGACAATGGCCATATTACCTGCAGTTTGGAACATGCTCCAGCCTATGCTCAGCATGCTCAATTTGAGGATGAGTATAGAATTATTTTAAGACATATATTTAAGGCTAATGTTCCTGTGGTGATGGCATTCTAGTGCTACAGTTTTCTGAAACCTTACTAAGGCTCTAATCTGTTTGGCTCCTGATAGTCCCTGTGGCTTGAAGGGCTCCTTCTTAGATGTCTTTCGCGTCCTCCTTCTTTGTGTTTCTCTCAAGTTGACACCATCCTGAAGCATAGGTAGAAGAACTGATCCTTAACCTTATCCTTATCCAAAGATACTTTATCCCCTTGAGATGTTGCCCTGGGTGATGTGTCTGGATCCTCTTCTATTTACCTTGAGTCACTCTATCAATTTTTCTTAAAATTCAACCTTTCTTGCTCAGGGCCTTCATCAATATGTTCCACTCACTGTCTTGGGTTTAGAAGAGGCTGGCCATTTTGATCATACATTTCATAGAATCTTCTGGATTCTTTCTATTCACCTGCATAGCTATGTGCACAATATCTGGTTAGTTCCTGAGCCTATGATTCTCTTGTAACTCTTCATAGAATGTAGCCCACAATAGTCAATATACATTACCAGAAATTGTTTTCCAGTGGATTTTGAATAGTATTACCAGCTTGTCAGATCTTGCATCTCCCTCCTAATTAAAATAACAGTTTTGCCAAGAATCTTGCCAAAATATCAACCCAATAGATTTTTTTAAACTCAGTTTCCTTGATACTCATTGCTCAGTCATTAAAGAAGTGGTGTATATTTTAGATGTTTGTTGTGATAACATAGGCTTTGGTTACAATATCAGTCTTTGGATAGTGTAAATGTTTAGGTACAGTCAGCAAAACAAAAACCATACCAGCATGTTTAACAGAGACTTACAATATGAAAAATAGGGGGCTGGGGATTTAGCTCAGCGGCAAAAGCGCCTGCCTGGCAAGCGCAAGGTCGTGAGTTCGGTTCCCGGTACCGGAGAAAAACCAAAAAAAAAAAAAGAAAAATTATTCAATCTGATATTGGAAGATTGCAAATTTCCAGAATACAAGTTGAGTAATTGTGAGAAATAACTATTACTTCAATGGGAGAATAAGAAAGGAGAAATTTGGGTTCTTAGAACCTACAAGACTTTTGAACTATGCCCCAGACCTCTGAGAAGGGCTTCCTGGAAGTTCAGAGAAGGGTCCTGTGAATCTAGGATACCCAAATGCATGCCCTTCACAGATCTGATCTTTTCAAGGGGAAGAGAAGGATGGTTCAATAATAACAGTTCAGGGAGTATGAGAAAAGTTTTGAAACTGGTCCCTACTTCCACTGATCTCCTACAAGTAAACATCACCAGGATGACACAAACAGATACAGGATGAACATGAGACAATGTTTCCTTCTGTCCTCTCATGGATGTCTGTAGTACTAACAATGGCAGAACCTAATCAGCAGGTTAATTGCAAAGGAGAAATCTGGTTTGAAATCTTCTCATTCTGGCATCTTAAGGAAAAATAAAAAAGAATGACTTTAGGGCTGGGAGATAACAGATTAGTAATTACTATGGAAAGTAGAGGATTGGAGCTTTAGCAAGTACACTCAGAAATTTTAAAGGTTTTTTGTTATTCAGGATTGCTTTTGTTCATGCGTCAGTCTGAATCAGGTAATTTGACTTCAGAAATTTATCAGAGAAGAGAAAGATTGTGTGTATCTGGTCATGAAGATAAATAGGTAGGTGCAGAAGTAACGTTCATCATTTGTATTCTGATACCACTGGTTAGAAATCAAGGATGAAAATAAATACATCTTTAAGAATGTTGGTGAATATAGTTTTCTTTAATGATCTGTAGGGAAGGTTAGTGGGTTCAGTCAGCCTCTATCACAAATGCATTCTTTCCTTGGGAACTAGTCTTTTTGATCTGCATTTGATTTTTGTAACCATACTTTTATTATGATTATTCTGCTCTGATCCAGAATATTTGAAGCTTTCTAATACATATTATACCCTATCTAAAAAATTACAATAATGATCGTGGCTGATTATTATGTTCTAGGCATTTTCTGAGCATTTTACAGATATTCTTATTTTTAATATGTATAAAACTCTGGTGAGGTTGGTATGATCACTATCCCTGTCTTATAAATAAAGCAACTGAGATACAGAGAAATTTAAACACCTACCCAAGTTGATTTGGGTAATAATGATGAAGCTAGGGTGTTAGCAATCCAAGCAATCTACAGTGGGAAGGCCACTCTCTCATGTCAGAGTTAGGCTGGGAGAGAGGGAATACAGTCATTATTTAATTTGTAAACATTAGGTCACAAACAAAGGATATCAATGAGACAGTAATTCATTACAGCGTGGAATAGAGACAAATGGGATCTTTCCTTTATAATCTGTTGTCTGTGTGTGCCTAGCGGGTGACTCTGTGCTCTGCATTGATTGACATATGGTTATAAACAGTTTAACTGTCATTTTCACCAGGAATGGTCAGTAACAGACAGAAAAGAACAAATGTAACTCTTTTGATCTATGAGGCAATTCACACTATCTGTTTTTTAAGTTCAGAA